AACTCTTTAAACTTCTCACAAGATGAACTAACAACCCTTATAGAAACCAATGGGGGGCCGGGGAAGGGGGTTTGGGGGTGGGTCGCTGTGTGTGGGCATCAAATCCATGGCAGTGAGCTTGGTTTGGGCTTTGTAAAACCACCAGGTGTTCTGAGGGGGGAAGATGGGGCTTTCTACTCCTGTAAAGAGTTGCAGTCTGGGGAAACCCACAGGGGCAGTTCTACCTTGTCCTGTAGAATCTCTACGACTTAGAATCAACTCGAAAGATGGTAGGAAGTTTTGAGTTTGTGTTTCTGACAGAAGCCTTGTATTGGAAATAACGACTCTCGTAACTCAATTAATAAAAGACAGGCAACCCAGCTTTTTAAAAGTGGAGGAGGCAAAATAGTTGAATATATACTTCACAAAAGAAGATACACAAATAGCCATTCACCAATAAGCATACAGGAAAGTACTCATCCAACATCATCTGTCATCAGGGAAATGCTATTAAGCCAAAAGAGGGTTCCACTCTGCAGGCATTGCACTGGAGGGTTAAGACCCAAAGGAATGACCACATCTGTATTGGCAAGGATGTGGAGCAACCGGAACGCTTAGACTGCTGTGAGCCTACGATGTGGTACAACCACTTTAGAAAGCTGTTAGGCGGTTCCTTTTAAAAGGTAAGGTTGCACCCACCTTTGAGTCAATCATTTAACTCCAAGGTATTTATTCAAGAGAAGTAAGACTTCTCTTCACAAGACTTCACACACCTTTACAAGAATAGTCAAAGCAGCTTAATTCAGAGTAGTAAAAAAAAGGGGGGGACGACAATCCAGATGTCTATCAATAATTAAAAGCATAATCAAAGTGTAGCATTATCCATTCAATAGTACACTTCCGGATCAAGGAAAAGAAACAAACTGCTACTCAAGCATTGTCTAAACCACACAACAGCATGAATGAATCTCAGAGCATACCTAGTAAAGGAAGCCCGACACAGAAAGCCAATACCCCAATGAGCCCCACGGCTGTGACCTTGATATGGCATTGTATTGAGGCCTTCACTTGATTGACCAGACCTTGGTTTCTTGTTCTGCAAATTACCACAATTTCTGCAGAGGGGAAAGAAAATATTAATAGACTAATTTCACAGAGTTAAGTCCTCTCAGGCTGGCTCCCTAGGAAATACAAAGCACCGTTCCTTCAAAAATACTGGTTCTGCCGTTCCTCATCACAAGCATGAGAAAACTGGCAGTGAGTAAGGAAGGCCGAAAAAGCAGCAGCGATGTGTTTGAGTTGTGGGTCGGTGAAGAATCCGGAATAGTCCATTGATCACCTGAAGAAACCACTGGAAGAAATACAGCCAGAAATGCTCCACAGAAGCAAGGGCGGCAAGACTTCCGCCTGGCAGTTACATCATCTCCTGTCAACTTGTGAAGGGGTGGAGTTTAGCCTGTCAATCAGGTCGCAGCTCAATGACCTCATCTGGAGCCACGAAGGAGATAAATAACTCATTGGAGGCCAGAAACAC